ATCCATCCATCCATCCATCCATCCATCCATCCATCCATCCATCCATCCATCCATCTATCCATCTATCCATCTGTCTATCCATCAATCCCAAATTACCTACCTACCCTCCTTCCTTCCTTCCTTGCTTCCTTCCCATACCTTCCTTCCTACCTATCTATAACATCTGCACATGCTGTTGTCTCTTCTTCCTCCAGATGACCGCAGCTCAGCAGCCAGTGGTCTGGATGTGGCTGACCGACTGACCTACCTGGAGCAGAGGATGCAGATGCAGGAAGATGAGATCCAGTTGTTGAAGATGGCTCTGGCTGACGTCCTCAAGAGGCTCAACATCTCTGAGGAGCACCAGGCCGCTGCTGCCGCCGCCAATGCTGGCCGGAGGGTGCCAGGTGGAAAAGGTGAGCCAAAATTTTTTATTTTGTTGACCTGTTCTGTATATTGGATATCATAGATGTTTTTAATGGGTTGTTGATGTTGTTGTTGTTGTTTTCATCAGCTTTCATCAGAGTTAGTTAAACCAGTGACGCTTATTGTTTTGTAAGTGCATCTACCTGAATGAGAGCAATGTCACTCAGCGTTATTGAATAATCACATATACTGTAGCTGCCCCCAACAGACATGATGTACTTACTGTGCACATATACACATGCTTCACATGTGTGTGTAGAAACATGTGTATAGAAACATGTGTATAGAAACATGTGTATACCATCCAATTCCAATTATTGCAATTTCCAAAATAGGTTTAATTTCTGCAGTCGAACAACAGAGCAGTCACAACAATCAATTCTATTATTACAACCTCAAACACTCAAATATTAAGAATAACAATAATAATAATACAAGTGTGTGTGTGTGTGTGTGTGTGTGTGTGTGTGTGTGTGTGTGTGTGTGTGTGTGTGTGTGTGTGTGTGTGTGTGTGTGTGTGTTCGTTCCCCCACAGCCAGGCCAGTCTCTCTGGCTCTGCCCTCCAGGCCCCCCATGGTCTCCACGAGTTCTGCCTTCCTGAAGAAGAGCTCCACGCTGCCCTCCAGCTCCACAGCCAGGAACTACAGCCCCACACCACCTCGCAGGTAAACATCACTGCACTGTGGTCAAACAGGAGGCTGTGATAAGACCTAATGAGACGGTCTCCTATCTACACAGAAGTTAATGTCATATTTAGTTTGTTTTTTATGTAGATCTAGTTTTTAATTACTACTCCTGAGAGAAATCTGTTAAAATATACGTTATCTTTATCAGGATTTGCACAGTAAAGCAAAAATGTTACAATTTGTGATTGATTTCATGATGGAATAATCATCCCAATGGCATTCATCTCATCTCGGACACACACACAACAATGAGGCAGCTTCTGCCTTCTCTCTTAATGTAAATGAAGCGGCTCATGCTTCAGCTTCTCCAGCTTCACCCTCATCACCTCATCCAGGATTGATTTTCAATAATTATTCCAACACTTGCCTTTGTTTCAAAGCAATAAAGCAGCAAACCATTTATGGCACCTCTCTTCCTCTCAATTACCTTTGGAATGATACCACCATTACATCGCATTAGCCAGAGAGTGTGATGGGTTCTCTCTGTGGAACCTGAACGTGCCGCTGCTGCTGTGATATCTGGGGGACGCTGATATGATTGCACAGAGAGAGTTAAATCTCCATCCACTTAAGAATGTCCATCCAGTGTGAGGAGGAGGTGAGAAGTGTCGTCATTACTGCTAATGACGACTGACTGACTCTGATTCTCTCCATTTCTTTCTCTCTATACATAGAGACAATATATATATATACTATATATATATATGAACAGAGCCATGATCTTACAGTTCTTGTTCCTTTCCTTCCAGTGGTGTGAAGAGCCCACCAGGGAGTGTGAAGGACAGTCCATGTAAGACTACCAAATCACGGCCCACGTCTGCAGCTTCCTCATGTAAAAAAGAAGGGTGAGGAGCTCTTCTCGCATTTTATACAAACTTAAATGTCCAGTGAAAGGAAAACTGCCTGTTATCTTCTTTGTATAAGCTGACTGCTGTTTCAGGATACAGTCTCACTATCTTATAATCCTTCATTTTCTCTTCCTGATGTCTCCATATTCACTTCTTGCAAGCAATCAATGTACATACACTTTCTATTGATTTTGGGGCAGCTCACTTATTCCTGACTGATCAGGTTCCAATCAGATATCTCAAATAAATCATGTCTATTTCCAATCCGAAGATCCTCCTGTGTGTGAAAGTATCTCAGACCACTGATTAATTCTTCAGACCTCTTATCCTTGTTTTGTTTGTGTGTAGAAATTCTGCAAAGTCAAAAAGCCCTAAGACTTTAAATGAAGCACCTAAAATGCCTTGTCAATAGTCCAGCAGATACTTCCTCATCATTGTGACATCACAATGCATAATGCACACCTACCTGCTAGTCTGCCACGCCCCTTAACAAAGCCAGTTCCTACACACACTGAAAGTGGTTGACCAATCACAACAGTGTGGGGCCAGCTGGCCAATCAGAGCAGACTGGGCTTTAACGGGAGGAGGCACGTAATAACTCAAGTTAAAATATGAACCTGAATGTCTTCCTTAACTGTTTGAACTGATGCTTTCATGCTGAGCCTTGTTCCAATATGACACACTCTCTTTCAGACACTCAGTATTTCTCTTTCTTTCTCATTATAGCAGCAGCAAGTCTAAGGAGGCTGCAGTAAGTGCAGGTAAGAGAGACTGTGTCTGGTTCTCTGCAGTTGGTTCTTTTTTTATATTCCCTCCTGTAACTGGAAGCATTCAGCCCCATAACAGGAATGTGAAACAGCTGCTGATCAAGCCTCTATAGAAGAGCAGAGTTGAGGCTGAAGAACAAAAGAAGTCTGAAATGACAGTGGAAGTATTTGCTGCATGTAAACTAATCTAATCTTTCTATCGTTCTGGTGCAGGAACAAGACGTGTGACACACTGCAAAGGTAGACTTCGCCCCTGACAATACAGGAAATCATCTATAACATCATGTAAAATTGAGAACATTGTTTTTGAGTTGTTATTTTATTCTCGTCCCTCATTTTTGTCACATCTCACCATGACTTGTGTGTCCTCCCTCTTCCCTGCACCCTTATTTTTGTGTCTTTTGTTGTGTTTCTATCTGCCCTCAAACCTCCCCTCCTCTCCGGTCTCTTCACTCACCACCTCCTCACCTCATTTCACCACTTGACTTAGTGACTATGCAGATCTATCTGAGCCCCCAAGCAAGAAAGACTGGATCTTCTGAGACCACCAAGTCGGCGCCCGTGGTGCCTGCCGGCAGCGGGCCCTCGGTGGTGCCTGGCAACCCCCAGATGAGGGGAGGCAGCAAGACGGAGAAGAGGAGGTCGACCCCGTCCTTGACCCTGAACCTGCAGAAGACTACGACCAGCCAGAGCACGCACCAGGACACGTCCAGCTACAAGAGCCCCCTCAAGTCACCCAGCCAGTACTTTCAGATTTGTTACTGAGGAGAGAGGATAGAGATAGAATTAGTCCAACTTTGTCATGAAGTTTCCCCATAATCATTCTGAACAGAAACTGCAAGTAAAGACTTCATTACAATGTTGGAAAAACTAAACAAAATTCAAACTGGTAATAATAACAATTGGAGATCTACAGTACAGCATCAACACATTCACATTAACAAGTCAAATTAGTTAAATGAGTCACTACAGGGTTTTATGGCATTAATATATATCTGAATATTCATTTTTTCATGATAGTGTGAAAGTACCACTGTTTAGTTTCTGTTTCCCACATGTTAGCTCCTGCATCTTGTTTCAGTGTTTCTGTGTTCAAGTCTTCACTTTGTCTGACTGTACGGATGTGTCTTTGTGTGTAGTCCTCTTTCAGCACTGACTGTGTGATGTGAGAGGGAAACTGTGTGTGTGTGTGTGTGTGTGTGTGTGTGTGTGTGTGTGTGTGTGTGTGTGTGTGTGTGTGTGTGTCTCCCTGCCTGTTTGCTGTGATGTTTACAGTTTTGTAGTCGATGTCAAATCTTACCTTCACTTAAAAGGCTCCTAGTTTAGGAAAAAACAATAAACAACCATGTTCTGATCACAAGTGTGGCGACTTTACTTAATGTTGTCTGCTGCTGTGTGTGTGTCTGTGTGTGTGTGTGTGTGTGTGTGTACAGTATCTGAAGGGTTGGCAGTGTAAGTTGACAGAAGCTGGTACCCTACCCCTTGACCCCTCACCCTGACCTGAATGGCAGGAAAAGTTCCAGAAAATGTCTGAGGCAACTGACTCGGACATGTGCGTTGTCATACACAGCCCCTCCGGTAAATCTCAGGAAACTGTTCGACCTTAAGTGACAATGTCTGAAGCAGTTTTCATGAAAAGTCCTGGCAGAGCTACGTCCAATCAGCCCGTCTCTGACGATGGGAACAGTCTTTTACAAAGGGACTGCAGGGCACACAGCGACAATGAGCACTTTGATGAACAGGAAACTGCTGAAAGTCATGTCATGTGCCACGACCTTTTCATTTGGATAAATAGTCAAATAAAGACATGGCAAATAGTCGAGCTGCGAGCCACACATTTTCCACTGCCTCTGAGAGTCCCACGAACACAAGATGATCTTTAGAGGAGCTGAATACAGCTCAGGTCAACAACTGACTATATTTCTAAAGGTGCAATAAAAATTGCTCTGGCGTCTTGTGGTTACTCTTCTCTTTATTCACATTATTGCTGCGGGTCCTGGTGATGTTCCAGGGATAAACTCTGCCTCACAGTGGGTGACAAGCCTCTAATTCTGACCATTTATAATCAGTTGAGCCGTATTTGGAGATAAAACAGTCATATCTATCACTGTGACCTTTCAGAAACATTTGTGAGTTGTAATAAAGTGAGTCAACTCAATGTGTGCCCACCCTTAGCGCCCTCCTGTGGAGATTAAAGCCACCCACACACACTGGGATACAGTAACAATAAAAGGTAACACCATGTGGTTATTAACAGAGGCTCCAGATTCAACTGAGTAAAATAAAAGTTCTCTTAAAACAAGGGCTGAACTTTTTAGGATCACCAACCCAGTGTGTGGCCTCAAATATTTTCCTTACTCACCACATCAACCACAGCAGAAATTCTTGTGCTCGTTGGAAACTAGGAGGACCTCTGCTGGTGAGAAGGAACAACTGCTAAAAGTTTGCTTGAAGTATACCTAAGCTTGTGTTTGTAGTTAAGACGTAGAATAACAACTGCATTCACAGTTCAGATATAGTTTAAAACCTGAATTTATAGTTAAGAACCACAAATTCAAATACATATCATTTTTCTTGTACCACCTTTAGTTGCAGGTACAAGAGAAAAAATTCCACTTTCATGACAGATGTGGATTTAACTGTCTGAATCCCAGTGTGATACAATCCAGTACAAACAGTATTTATCTTCTTGCAAATATTGAGGAACAACCAGGATTACCCTGAATGAATGGAAGTTGACAGAATGGAGAGGCATCACTAAAAAAAGAGAATATGATATAAAAACTGGTGTCAAAACGAGGGAAAATCAATTTTAGTTGGATTTTATTTGTAAAGCATCAAATCACAATATATACCTCAAAGCACTTTACATAGTAAGGTAATAAAAAATACTGAGAACCTAAATGATTTATGTACAATACATACTGAGCAAGTTCTGTATGGAGATTTACAAAGATAATTAGATGGTAAAAATTATTTGATCTCCTCATGAACAGTTTATCATCTAGATTTGTGGACAATCCTACCTTTAACATTTTTAAAATGTCCAGCCAAATATATTGTAGATAAATAGTAATGCATTCATGTAACGTCTTCTTAGGAACACATTTTTAAAACTAAGGACAATTGCTATTTATCTGACCTTTGACCCTACAGTCCATTTGCAGGAAATTCTATCACAATGTAAAAACCATTATATCACATGCTTTAAAACATTGATGGGACATACAGTTAAGAAATGAATCTGTAAGTGTATCATTTTAAACACTCAACACTAATATAGAGAAAACCACAGAGTGACTTGAAGACCTGAGGAAGTAAATCCATGGATTTGTTTGCCAGGAGGAGAGAGAGCAGAGTTACTCCACGTGAAGAAACAGCAGCTGGCTGACGCACACACACACAGATGTTAAAGCTGGTCGGGCCAGGCTGTCGACAGGTGTGTGCCACATACATTCTGTCATTTTATATCAGGCTGTTATTCTGTCCTACAGAGTGCAGTTATGTTGAATGGGCTCAGCCATCAGTCTCATTCATCATTCAGAGAGTTATGGAGAGAGATAGAAATCACAGAAGTGATGACAAAGAAGGAGATAGAATGGGTTTTGTATAAAGTGTATTTGTGTTGTAGAGAGGTTATAGAAACATAACACGAACCATAGATTGTATATAAAGTTGGACTATGCGTTTCCATTCCATCTAGAAGTGAAGCTAAAACTTCTGTCACACGACAGAGATCTTTTGGCTTCATTCTTTGGGAGCCGTCTTCTATCCATCTTTATACACAGTCTACAGTTTAAATGGCTGGTTGCAAATGCTAAGTGTAAGGTTAATGGTGGAAAGAGTTAACTTGAGTCCTTGTGGAGGGTCCATGTCTTATCCACGAACATTGATTTATGACCCACAATGCAACCAGGGGGTGATCAAGTCACTTTGGCTTCACCTTTGGGAACAGTCATTTCGTCCACATTTACACAGTCTAGAGCTGTGTCTCAATTCAGGATCTGCATCCTTCAGAGACTGGATTTGAAGACAGGTTAAATCACAGTGGCAAAACTAGATCTCATTTTGAAAAGCTTCTTCAAACGCAGCTGACAAATGTGTGCTTTCATCCCTGAGAAAGGAAGGCTCCAGTGGGTTTATCCTTCTGTCTAAACCTATCCCAGGATTCATTGCACTTCAGTGACACAGAAGTAATGGCACCGGCAAGCTACGAGATGTCCAATGCTTAAGTATCACGCTTCAACTCAACTAAACAGCTAACAATACACAAGTTAAAAAACCAAGAGGCATTGAAACTTTCTCGTTGTGTCCAACTTCAGCCCTGTTGCTAGGCAACAGTAATGAGGGTGGGGTGATGAGCTGGTAACACCAATCACATAGGCCAGACCATCTCATTTTGGTTCAGCCTTTGAAGACTGACACCAAGACCACTTCCTTCCTGGGCTGTGTAGACCACATGCTCCACACACACATACACACACACTAACTAAATGACTAACCCTATAAAACCAAATCTTAACCCTCAAACAGCCCATTGAGAAAGTGAGGACCGGTCAATATGTCCTCAGTAGGGCCTATTCTTAAAATGGTGCTCACAAACATATAAGTACACACACACACACAC